ACTACAGCTTAATAAGAATTAAATCTCAGCAGGCTTCAAGTGTATGAAAGGGCTAGAATAGGGTCTTAATTGTTGATAGGCTATAGCTGTACATGTACGTGCATTTTGCTTTTGCCCACAGTGTACGCTTCATTTGTTCCCTCCAGTAGACAAATAATTTTTTGAAAATAGTCTGACTTTCAGTTCTTTAACTGCATAAATTATTATAAGGTAAAAAAAAGAAATACCAGTTACCATTGACAGAAACTGTAACATTCTTGTCGCTTGTGCCTACGGTGTTGTTGGCCACACATCTGTAGGTGAAGTTTCCTTGAGCTGACATTGTTCTCTTCCATACTCCTTTGGTGTCACTGTCAGGCACTTGTATATCATTCTCAAACAGTTGATATGTATGAACCAAAGGTTTACCATCAGCTGAGCAGTTGATACTGATGATATCACCCTCACAGATGTTTGAATCATTTACCATTAACATGACATTCTCTGGTTTGTCTAAAACAAAAAGGGAAAGGTTTAAAACTTAACATCAATTGATCAGTCATCACAACTACATGTAGTATGTATAATCACTTGCAATTGTGACAGATCTTTACTACATATATGTGCATCGGTGTGTCAGCCAGAAAATTTTACTTGAGGGCCAAAGTGGCCCCTGAAGATCTTTTTTAGCGGCCAATTTTTTAGTAAAGGGGCCAATAAATTGAAAGCTACAGAAGGAAAAAATGCATCAGAGTACCAAGGAAAATAAAGCGAACTATGATACAATTTAATAGTAAGTGCTTTTTGAAGTGTTTCTACTCAATAAAGTTTCTTTTCGCGGAATCAGATACTAGTATGAAGGATCGATCCGTGCATTACAAGGGAACAATCCTTACGTATACATGACGTAGTCAAAGATCAAGGGTTTGCAACACGGTCAGCCATTTGTCTAAAAAAAGGTATATAAAAAAAAAACTGAACGTAAAACAGCCGTGTAATTAGTTTACTTGTCAATCCTTTATAACGCAAAACGTACAGTTTATGACCTTAATTAAAACAAATGTCAGATATATTAAGTTGGGGTCGAGCTTTGTCCTGAATGCCATCTATTAGACTAGTTTTTCGTTAGTACTCTCCACTGAGGTAAGTAATGATGCGAATTTAACTAACAAAGATCAGACAAATGTGCAGAGGTCAATCGGTTTTGTAAGTCAAGTACATAATCAAGCCATGCTTGCTGCATAACATTTCTAAACAGTAAATATGTATACACTACTCGAGGCAACCACCCATTAGTTGTCTTAGTTTGCATATCCATACACAACTTACAAGTAACGCCCACAGCAATAGTGCGGTTGGGAGCAGTTCCTATCCCATTGTCTGCAGTACAGCGATATGTCCCAGTGGAACTTCTGTTGTTGTCAAGTACAAACTGCTCCCCAGTAAACAGCACATTGCTGTCACTGCCATTGTCAAGCAATCTGGTCCAGGTGATGTTTGGAAGAGGTTCACCAATTGGAATACACTCTAATATAATACTGGGACCACCTTCAACAACAGCTTGATCACCACTGGCACTAGCGAATTCTGGATCATCTGTACAAAATAAATTAATAATTTAGTGAATTTTGTAATCAAAGCAGATATATTTCTACAAGTGGCTTTGCAGTATTGATCCCAATAATATTTGTTAGTTTCTACCTCATCAATAAAGTAAGGAAAACCAGTACCTAAATTAGTACATGAAATTTTTGTGACACGTTAATTTCGTGAATTTCGCGATATAAAAAAACATCGCGAAATTAAAATGACGCGAACAACAGTAGTGTCGCGAGCATAGCATGACGCGAAAATTAAGTGACTCGCACTATGTCAACAATCCAGAAAGAGTGAGTTTATTACCTCCGAGGGATTTACAAAATCTTATCAGTAACTGGACAGTGAAAAAGAAGTATAGTCGAACCTCCACTAACGGCCACCTCGCTACAAGGCCACATTTCTTGGTCCCGGCAGAAAGTCCGTATATTTACTCTTATTTTAACCTCTCTACAACGGCCACCTCTACACTACGGCAACGGCCACTAAAACGCGTCCAAACTTCCAACAGAAAATTCTCGACAACGGCCAGGTAATCAATTAATGACGAACGACCACACTTCTTTATTGGAAAAAGTCACCAGACTTAATCCGTGCTAGGCGGCGTTGGTCTCTAGGCGAGCTGTTTTCATTACGTTTTTGTTTTACTGATATATTTTGATTGTCTTACTTATTTATAGGCTAAAATAAGCACTTTTAAAAAATGTAATTGTTGTTACCCCGGGGCAAGCAGGTGTCATATTACAACCCTACCTCCCCGTATAAACGCCATCCTTTCTGAACTACGACGGCCACATTCCTTTGTTCTTTGTTTCCAAGGACTGGCCGTTGTATAGAGGTTCGAATGTATTACCGCCTGTTGATCCATATCAGGACATTTACACAAATGAGGCGTTAGACCTGTATATACATATATTAATGTTTCTTACCGGTATCGTTAATTTTAAATAGTCTGTAGGAAAGAATTTTCAATGTAAATGGTTTTTGTGGTCAGTTGACCTGGCCAATAATTCATGTACAAGCATGAACTACTTTGTTGTTACTGTTGACATTACGTTCTTGTTAATTTTGACGTTATTGTACCTTTGATAAAGTCGATTTACTAAAATTAAGGACATGTGAAAGTAACACTGCCAAGAAAATAAATTGTATGTTACTCAAAAACGCGAAGTTAAAGTGCTTCAAAATACATTTTTTTCCAAAATCGCGGAATTTAAGTGTCGCGAAATATGCGCACCTCAAAATCGCGAATGAAACGTGTCGTGTAATAAGGTAATGAGATATTATTTACTCTAGTTCATTTTTCCAAAACCACGTGGAGACATCTGCGTTACTGCCTATTGATATAAAGCACAGGTCACTTTTTATTGTGCCGAAATATACCAGAAAACGTACTATTAGGTGATTTCTGTCCGTGGCTTCATCTTAAGTAAGGTGCATATTTCGTAGTGTTGTGAATGGCCTTTAATTGATGGCAAATATCTACACTGGGCAATAGCAAATACACATTATTCTAACATGGATAGTGAGAGTAATCAACAAATTTCTTAAAAAAGCCATAAAATGTTTGGGGATTCCAATATTTTTTTTCTATGCTGGCGTACTGTTTACATATAACTTTACGATTTCTGGCCATTTCATGAACATCCACTAAAACACAAAAGCCATTTCTCTGTCTTAACCTAACTCGAAATCAACAAGAAATAACTAGCTAAGCATTTTCCAATCAATTACGAGTAAAAATTTTTGGATTTCGTTTTCACATGGCTTTTCTTGTGCTAGAAGTACTAAACTAAAGATGGCTAATTAAATATACGTAAATTAGTGTCAAATGCCCATTTTTACAGGGGGTCCTCCTAACTTGAAGGGAATAAAATATTTTGACCTACTGTTTTGCCAGAATCATTCACTCACCAAACCCAACATTTGTGCCAAGTTTGAGCGAAATCGGTGACTTGAGCTGTATCACCCCCCGCCCGGTTTTCTCATGGACACGCTCTTAATCATACCTTATCGGTACTTTTCGGTAGCATATCAGACGAGTTTGGTCTCGCCATGATATTTTGGCTCGACTGCGTCTTGCCAAAACACGAAAAATCATTCGATCAAAGTTGCCAAGCCAAGCCATAGCCGCCAAGCTATTCTTTTAGTACACTAGCATGGAAAAGTTATTTTCAAGACGACAATAGCAATTTCTTTTAGATATAGCACTACCGGAAACGTTTTTAAAATTTATGAATTTCAAAATTGACGACCTTACAGTTTGTTGAGAATTAAAGTCTTTAGCATATATTGGCATGTAAAAAAATTTTGAGACGCTAAATGAAATAAAAATAAATAAATGAGTAAACGATGAGGGAACAGATTAAGAATCTAACCACTACACTGAAGCAAACTCTAGTTAAAGAGCTGATTACAATACACCTTTTGTCTGTTTGCAAATACGTAGGAAACAAAGAAGTGGGCTTGATTTTCGCGCTGGCTTTGAACCGTTCGCACCCTTCCCTTTCTTGTTTTGCTGAATCCTGGGTTTTTTGACTATCAAAATCTACCCTTTCATCCTTACTTCTCATTGAAAGCTACAAAGAAGAATTACTCCTTGTAATTATTACATAACTTTAGAAATTTGAGCGAAAAGAAGCAGCTTTTGCCCTACCGTACTTAACGGGGAGTCCATATGTATCATCTAATCGTTAAATAGACAACTATGAATTAACCAATCAATATAATACGCTGACTGTATACTAAATATACTTACACTGCACTGAAATCGTCACTACACTGGCAGTCAGGCTGCCGCCGCTTAGGACAACCTCAAACTCATAATCCTTACTGTCGACTGTTCTGTTAGCCCCAAGGATCGTAATGGACGTATAGGTAGTTGTTACATTTACTTGTACTCGACCAATGTAGTCGTTTACCAAGGAACGTGGTGTCTGGCCTATCGTGTCCACCTCTAAAATCCGGATTGTGGGGAAAGAAGTAACATCTACGAATTCAACGCGTAGAAACGATCCACCTGCAAGATCATAGCTCCATTCTAGAGTGATGTTGTTACCTTCCAGAACGGCGAATGGATCTGAAGGTTCTGATGTAAATACTGGTTGCAATTCTACGAAGCAAAACAAACCAAAATGCAGGAAAAGTAAAAGGGAAAAAACACTTAGACTGACTCAATTCTCGCGTATTTCGTTACTAGCAGATCCACGTATTGGCCTAGAGGTTGTTTTTTAAATCTGCAAAGTGAAACTCACCAGGCAGTATGACTAACTCGATGTGAGTCGTATAGTTCTGGGATAGCTCTGAAACGACTAAGAGAGAAAGATACTGATTCGTTTCTCAATGATTATGAAGCTTTAGTTGTGGAGATCGTATCTTCATCACGTGACTGCATTTGTCCCAAAGCACTGAAGGAACGCGTCATTAAAATTTTCCTTTGTACGATAAATCAATTTTACCAGCTTATTACCAGCATCAGCAATTATAATAAACATTTGCACGCCCAGTGGCAATTTAAAAAAAAAAATAGCAAAATAGAGAGTGCGAGGCGCGCCAACCTTGCAACTCGTCCGTCAGTCTTACTCAATGTTTAAGACGGATTCCGCTCAAAGTTCGAGCAGTAAGTGCAAATTATTTACTGAAAATCTACTCATAACGAGGTAACTTTTGGAATACTTTTTCAAACATCTCACTTTAGTTAATTTGTCTAAGTGAACCCGCGATTAAATTCTCAAGCATTCTCGAGAAAGTTAATATCAAACCTCGTAAGGATGCTTGAAGCGTGTGTTATTGTGTTTTTAACTAACGCGAATCGTCAGTTTTAATTGAAATATGGATAACTTCAAGTTCAATTTTCTCTCGCGGGGTCAGCTTGAGAGCTTCAGTCTCGACAAGTTGTTCTTTGCTTCGTTCAAAATATTACCGTGCTATGAGGTTTCTTTGGTAACTTAAGTTTTGCTATTATTGCTGGAATGTTCTGCGGACATCATCTTAAACATTCTATCCACACCATATTTTTGTACGTAAAAATAATCAATTGAATTAAGGGTATATTCGTATAACTATATACATCACTTATTTATTAAGCCTGCAGGAGAAGGAGGAGCACCGTAAATAGGATTCAGGGAACACACACAAGAATCTGTGATGACGAACTGAAAGCTGATTCTTTCAGCACTACTATCATTATATCTGGCCACCGATCGTTTCCGCTGCATTCCCCACGAAGAGCACAACAAAGGTTCGATTTGATCGTATTGGCACCAGTAGCCATAGACGGAGAACTATCTGTTGATCGGAAAAAAGGAGGCTTTATACTCGGATGTACAGCGAGAGGAGATCAAAACCAAACTTTAAACTGGGAACAAAACTTTAAACTGGGAATGCCATATTGAAAATGTCTCTAAAATGATTGCTTCGACCATTGGTGCAATTAAACAAATTCGACATCAAATCCTGTCTAACATTTTGTTCATCTTCACTTTCATTATTGTAATGTGGTGTGGAGAAGCTGTAACAAGGGCCTTGCTGAAAAGTTCCAAAGGCTTCAAAATCGCGCAGCTCGTATCTTATTGTCTGCGGGCTATGTCAGTAATTTGGATGATGTATTCCGGACATTAGGGTGGCGTACACTCTTTTATCAGAGATGAGACGAGAAATCTATAATGATTGTATAAGACACTGTATGTTATGACACCCGAACTATCTACGATCAAGACTTGTTTATCGCGAAAATGCGATTGCTTATAGTTTAAGGAATATTGAAAACAAATTAGTTCTTCCACAACCTCGCACTAATATATTATCTCAAGATAGGTTTTTAGTGGAGCTCAGTTGTGGAACAGCTTACCTACAGAACTAAGAAAAGAAACTTCATTAACCGAGTTCGAGACTATAAAACTAAGTCGCCATAGTTTTAAATAAGTTCACTCCAAAAAAACCTTTTTTTTTGTCTTCACCTATAACAAGTAAACATTCAACTTTTCCACTCACCGAAGTTTCAGCCTCTGAAGTGCCCGCTATCCTGAAGAAATTTGTCTCGAAAGAAACGACTTCGGACGCCGCGCCATGTTGAAACTGTCTCGGCAGCCAGGCCGTGTTTATGAGACGTCATTCCGTTCGACTTGAAATTGG